AAAATCATGGGCTTCTCATATCCTGTCCTTGCATTTCAATTTTTAGTTACCTTTTTGTCTTTTCTGGTATCTACTCCTTAAGTTATTCAGTCCAATCATAGGATACATATCATCATTAAGGAACATAAGCTATTTTATTACACTTCTTATTACACTTTCTTATACAGGATGGACTATGCCAACTATTAATGGATATTTGGCTGTTCAAAGCATTTCAGAAATGCTTCAATATTAAATGCAGTTAGCATTTAGAAAATGTTTACATAGGCAGCAGTTGCTGCACAACAAGACCTTGGACAAGGTAACTTGTTCCCAGTAAATTAACATTTGTTCAATCATTCTGTCATTATTTGGCTTGTGCTAATTCCAGAAAGATGGATTCAACTAAACAGTGTCAGTTTGACTGAATGTAACAATTAGAAAAGAATTCTGATTTATAGGGCCAATTTCTTCTAGTCTTCTTGCAGATGTATTAATTACTTCATTTGGTATTCTTGTCCTATTAGTAGGCTCCCTGAATTGAAGAAACGTAGGGCATACAAATGCAGTAAGGAACAAAGGCTAAAGTGAGTCTCCACAAGCTGACTCCCTCCAAAGATCTACATGAAAACCCAGGGGCGGGGGGGGGGGGGGGGGCGCCTCACAAATATACAAAAAAAAAAATCACAAAAAAGCAGCACAGGCAAGGGTTGGAACATGCAGACTCATTTCTGCTGCTAGGAAATGTCTCCAGCAAAGACAAGAGCAAGCATCTGTTGTCTCTCATCAGAGGTGGTAATTGTGCCTTTAAAGCACACAGTTCAGTCAATACAATTGGCCTCAAACTGTATACTCATTGGCATGTGTTCTGAGCCAATAATTTCTCCAGTTAGCTTTGGGAGGAAACTTAGATTGGTATCTATGTCCCCATATAGAGACATTTAATTGGATTATAATTGCATACACTTTGGTGTACGGTATCTATCCTTGAATTGTTCTCTCAAACAATTTGAGAATTAAGGGAGTCCAAATAATCACTGCAGTGTGATACTCCTCCCCACAAATGTCACAGGGCAAGAACAAGTGCTTCTGCAAAAGGAAGTCCTACCTCACCAGTCTTTTGGAGTTCTTTGAGATAGTGAACAAGCATGCAGACAACGGTGACCCAGTAGACATTACATACTTGGCCTTTCAAATGGCTTTCGACAGGTACCTCACCAAAAACTCCTGAGTAGCTTAGCAGTCATGGGATAAGAGGACAGGTTCTCTTATGGATTAAAAACTGTTTAAGTGACAGGAAGCAAAGAGTAGGAATAAATGGACAGTTCTCACAATGGAGGGGAGTAAGAAGAGGGGTCCCACAAGGATTGGTATTGGAGCCAGATAGTACGATTTAATTTATTCATAAATGATCCAGAAATAGGGGTGAGTAGTGTAGCAGCCACAACATTATTCAGGATGGTGAAAACCAGGGCTGACTGTAAAGGTCTCCAAGAGGACCTCCACGAACAATGTGGCAAATGAAGTTCAGTGTTGGTAAGCCTTGGCTGGGAGGGCGGGGTATAAATTTGAGAAACAAATAAATAAATAAGTGTAAAGTGATGCACATTGGGACAAAAAAAATCCCAACTTAGCTAATGGGAGCTAAACTTGCTGAGACTGACAGGGGAAAAGATCTTGGGGTGGTAGTGGATAGCTCAAGGAACGTGTCAGCCCAGTGTGCTGCAGTGGTGAAAAGGGTAAATTCTATGTTAGGGACTGTTAGGAAAGGGATTGAGAATAAAACAGCCAATATTGTAATGCCTCTGTATCTATGGTGCGGCTTCATTTGGAATATAGTGTGCAGTTCTGGTCACCATATTTCAAAAAGGACACTGCAGAGCTGGAAAAAGTACAGAGGAGAACAACCAAGATGATTATGGGGCTGGAGCACCTTCCCTATGAGGAAAGACTGAAGAGTCTGGGACATTTCAGTTTAGAATAGAAACAACAAGAGGGGACATAATAGAGGTTTATAAAATTATGCATGGGGTGGAGAGAGCTGATGAGAAATTTTTCTCCCTCTCCCAATAGACCAGAACTAGAGGGCATCCAATGAAGCTGATGGGCAGCAGGTTCAAGACAGACAAATGGAAATAATACTTTATACAGAGAGTGATTAAAATGTGGAATTCGCTGCCAGAGGACGCAGTGATGGCCACAGGAATACACAGCTTTTTAAAGGGATTAGATAAGATTCATGGAGGATAAGTCTATTGATGGCTACTAGCTATGGTGACTGAGGGGAACCTCCCGATTCAGAGGCATTAAACCTCTGAATCCCAGAGCCAGGAGGCAACCTCAGGGCAAGGCTTTGGCCTCTGTGTCCTGTTGTTAACCCTCCAGAGGAACTGGTTGGCCACTGTGTAAGACAAGATGCTGAACTAGATGGACCACTGCTCTGATCCAGCAAGGCGCTTCTTATATTCTTAAGTGACTGCATTACTGCCCGAGTCAAAACATTTAATTTCCGTTTTTAAACAGAGAAAGAGAAACTAAAGATTAAGAGATAGGAATTGGTTAAGGGAGATGCCTTAAACTTATCTTGTAGACCAAATAAGAACACTGCAAAGTATATTCATTACCGAAGAGTCACAGTATTTCTAAAGAGCAGTTCCAAAGTCAAATTCACAGGAAATGCCTTTGATTATATTAAATCAACTGTCCTACCTTTTTATATAGTTTGTGGGAAATGATATCAAGTTTGAGGAAATGATATCAAGTTGGGATCCATTTATCTTTCTATACATTGCCAATAGTATGTTGGCCGTTAATGAGCTTTCATATTTTGTTCAGTATCTATGTTAACTGTAATTGGTCAAAGTTGAAGCTAAAGGGAATGCTGGTACATAAGAGGGATGTGGTTCAGGGCCTGTGGCTCAGGGGAATAACATCTGCTTTGCATGCAGAAGGTCCTAGGTTCAATCCCTGGCATCTTTAGTTAAAAAAATCAGGTAGTATGTGATGTGAAAGACCTCTACCTGAGACCTTGGAGAACTGCTGCTGCCAGTCAGAGGCCTGACCTAGACACAACAATTGTCCAAACTCAGCATAAGGCAGCATATGTATAATTTTTATTAATTTAGATACTTTTTTATTTTTATTTTATTTTTATTTTACTTTATTTTAGATACTTATGCCCCACTTTTCTCTGGGGACTCAAAGTAGGGTTGCCAAGTCCTTACTGTATGCAGAGCGGGAGACTCCAGCGCTGCTCCGGGAGTTCATGCGTGCGCGCACCACAATTACGTCACCAGGAAGTGACGCATAGAGTTTTCCCTTGGATGACCGTGTCCCCGCCCCCAACGCGACTGCGTCACTTCCGGGTGACATGCTGACATCGGGCACATCACGTGATTTTGGGGTGGGGTTCCCACCGGGGCCTGATCCGCCAGCGGCAGGTAACGGGCCTCTCAGGCGGGGGTTTCCCCACCCCCCGGAGGGACTTGACAAGCCTAACTCAAAGTGTCTTACATACTCATTCTTCCCTCCTGTACTTTATCCTAACAACCATATTGTGAGGTAGGTTAGGCTGAGAGAGTGTTTGACTGGCCCAATGTCACACAGTGAGCTTCATGGCTCAGAGAGGATTTGAATCTGAGTCTCCCATATTTTAGTGCAACACTTACTACTATACCACAGTGTGCAATTCCAGTCACTTAAACTATGATTAAGCTATTGGGAAGTTTATATCTGAACCAGTACATCAATTACTTTTAAACTTTCATTAAATAAACTACCTAGGTATACAACTTTTTAAACACAGAATCACTGCTGAATTCAATATTTAACATTTTATTTACTTTAGATTTTTTTCCATTACAGCAACTTGCTCTATTCTGTGTTCACCTGTTCTTCATGGCACATATAGATTATATTTTCTCTAGAACTGAACACAGTCTCCCTGCAAATCGAATTAGACAGAGCTGTAGTTTGGTTTATTTTACTTTCATCTCAATGCGCCTTTTAAAGTAACGCTAACTGAGCATATTTATCTGGAGTAAAGTCAGTATTAATAGTGTCAAGCAACTACTACAGTAAAAAAAGTCAAATCATTCCACAAAATCAAACTTCTTGTACCAGCTCTTATACAGAATAGGATTATTTTAAAAAAACCACTTTTAGTAATAGCAATCAATATACTAGGAGTTAAATCCATTTTTAAACTAGATTCTCAACAAGAAGAAATTCTAGAAGGGCAGTTCTTTTAGTCTGCTGCAGTGCAACACCAAAAAAAGACACAACTTTAAAAATTAACATGCTGGCTGTAACATGAACTTCCATAGGCTTGCCCACAGAAGCTTATGTTTCAACAAATATTATGGACAAGTAGAAGCAGAATGAAATACCCAAAAATTCTAAGTAGTCAAAGCACCTTTCTTAAGTTTTTCCACAACAACAAAACAAAGCAAGACAAACTTACTAGCAAAAATGGAGCGATTTTTCTGCTTTTGGCAACCCATACAGCACCACATCCAACTATAATGGAAATTACAGCTTATAGAACACTGGTAAACCACCATTATTTTGATGAAGGATAAAATTCTTCCTGATGAGTTTGTGAATCCATATCACAACTTCATCTATGCATTCTTGAAGGCGATTTTTAAAGAAGATTTCTATTTCATTCCACTTGGTACCTAAACAACAACAAATTCTGCAAATGCTGTTTGAGTTCTTGTTGCAGTCTGTTCCCAAATATGATCAATTATTCATTTTACTTTATGCATAAAGCTAACTCTGCTCTATCTAATGGACTGACTGCATTAACTCCTCACCATATATGGCATCAAAGCAGAATCATCTTACTTTTAATGCGTATTTCTACAATGCAGGTAAGAAACATACTTCTGGAGCAATGCACTCCTATCAGACAATCAAACGGTTTGAGTGTTAATACAGATTACTTCTAACTAAATCTGAACATTAAAATATATCAAAATATAAACCATTTATGATTTGAAAGTCTGGAGCTGTCTTACCAGATTCTTGTGAATTTAACACTTCTAAGGCATGCATCATGGCACTTGCAAAAACATTGGCATCTTCTTTACTGCCAAAGTTCAGACCATACACTTGTCTAGCATCCCGCCACTGATGGAAAGTCTGTGTTGCTTGATTGTACTTCAGTCCTTTTGGAATGGCACAATTTATTACCACCTAAACAAATAATGAAAGTACTGTTATTGACTAAATATCTGCCTAATTACTACTGTATCAGTATATTTAAACATCATACACTTCCTCCTGTTTCTACAGCACAGGTTTGGGACAGAAAATTTTCCATCGAAAAACTTCCCATTCTAAAGATACATTACTTCGTACAATTAACAGTGAATGGATGCTATTGCCAAATAACAATACTAAGCAAGCTTGGCCATTTCAAAGTTGTAGTTAAGATTTTCCGTATGATGAGTCCTAGGAATAGGGATGGGCATGAACTGATTTACAAACCCCGGTTCATGAAGCAAGAACCAGTGGTTCAGGAGACTGCTTTGTCCCACGAACCTGCCAACAAACCTCCATGTTTAAATGAAGGTTTGTGGGCGGGTTCGGAAGTGAGCTCTGAAGGAATTAAAATGCCTTCAGAGCTCACTCTTGGAGTCAGGCGGCCTGACTCGACTGAGCTCCTGGAGTGAGCCCTGAAGGCTTTTATAGGCCTTATATGCTCTTATATGGGCAGGCCCCACCTGGCAGTGAGCTCCAAAGGCCTATAAAAGCCTTCAGGGCTCACTCTTGGAGCTCAGACAAGTACTGTGTGAGAGATTAGATGTACGTTTACTGATTTCTAAACTGGGGGCAGGGAGATACAAATATCCAAATAAAAAGTGAGGTCATGAATCTAACTGACTGGCTTTGATTTGATCTGCACAGTCACTTCTATAATTTTACATCCCCTCTCACACTGAGGAACGGATATTGCAACTACCAATCTGACACCAAACTAACAAGTAATGTTACAGAGAGCAAAACTGAAAGTTCTGTTGAAGTAAATGAGTGGACATCCATGTCCATGGCATATCATCCATAATTCTCTGGGTATGCTGAGTGTATAGTTTTCAGTGTCTTTGGTTTTATTTTTAAGTTTAAACAATATAAGAAATTTACATTTCTACAACTATTATTCCAACAACATAATTTCCACATAAATGTTTGAATCTGTTTGATTATAACATTTAAACTACAATTTAATTAATTTTTATAATAAAATATTTCACTTTTTTGACATACAATACTTACTTGAAAGCAAGACAACTATTTTAAAAACATTTTTTGCTTTATAAAGGGGGGAGCGGTCCTCTTCAATTTAGATATAGGGCAAGCTCCACTGAGTTGTGGAGGCTCTGCCATGCCTAGGAACCTCCAATTAGTGGGACCACACTCTGTTGTAGTCAACCCCACCCCCTTCAGGTAGGTCTCACCATTTCAAGCTCCACAATCCAGCTGATTCGAAGCCTGCCTCTCTGTGCTACAGGGGTTGCACAGACAGGAGAGGGGTGCCTCTCAACTGTCAGCAGGGAACAGCAGGGGTTGTACTCCAAAGGACTCATTTAGCAATTGGGATCTCTTCCTCTGCACCTTCTGGAGCCAGCCAGAATGTTCATGGGCAAGCAGAGAGAGTGGTGCCTCCCTATCAGCTCGGTTGTATGAGCTTGCTTGCACTCCAAGGGACTCAGCAGGTGAGTGGGACTGCTTTCTCTGAGGGGCCCAGCTCCTGGTGATATTGCTATCTCTGCCTGCCTGTGCACCTTGTAGCAAGCTCCAGAAACTATGGAGGAAGAGAGCTCCCTTACCACCTGGATCCCTTGGAGTGTAAGGGCACCCACACAACTAAAGTGACAAGGAAGCACCGCTTTCTCCGCCTGACCATGTAACCTCTAGCACCAGAAGATGTGGAGGAAGAAAGCCTACTTGTTAGACTGATCCCTCACAATGCAAATAGCCTGCAAATCAGACTGACAGGGAGGTGCTGCTCTCTCCGCTGGTGTGCGTTCTGGCTGGCTCCAGAACACATGGAGATGGTGCCAGATAGGTCATGCAGGCTGAGGGTTGGAGTCTGCTTTTATGTGCTAACATGACACAAAAATCTTTCTGTACATGCAAAAAAGGATGTTTTCATGAAGCTGAGGAGCAAACTGCAGAAACTGTGTACTCAGAGACACAAGACCAGTGATGCATGGAATGATTAAACTGAATTATCATCAATTAGCACAAGTACAACTCACTCCACGATAAGAATTCAAGGCCAGTAATGGCTGGTGCATATGAATTATGTGCTCTAATAGGTTTTGCCTGTGGAAAAAGACTTCATTTTATCATCATCTACCAACATACTACACTGAAAACTCTTAGCATTCCAGAAGTATGTGACTGAATCCAATTACATAAAGATCATAATTACTTAAAGTTCACGATTATACAGATAAGACACCAGTGTACTTTGACATGCTATCAAATTACACCATAGAAGAAAAAACACAAAATCCATTCTCAAAGTCTTCAGGAAACGAAAAATGTGCATTGCCACCATCTGCAATTTTATTTATTTTTTTAAATTCCCAGAGGGATATTTTTATTTTTGCAATACACTACAAACTACTACTACTGAAGGTCACTACTACTATCTACTACTGTGGCCAGGAATCTCGTAGAAAAAATGGTGTGGCCTTTATAGTCAACAAGAGAGTGCAAAAGGCAGTACTGGGATACAATCTCAAAAATGACAGAATGATTTCTGTCCGATTCCAAGGCAAACCATTCAACATCACAGTAATTCAAGTCTATGCCCCAAGATCCTGGAATGTGAAGTTAAATGGGCCTTAGAAAGCATTACTAACAACAAAGCTAGTGGAGGTGATGGTATTCCAGCTGAGCTATTCAAAGTCTTAGAAGATGATGCTGTTAAAGTGCTGCACTCCATTTGCCAGCAAATTTGGAAAACGCAACAGTGGCCACAGGATTGGAAAAGATCAGTATACATTCCAATCCCAAAGAAGGGCAATGCCAAGGAATGTTCAAACTATCGCACAATTGCACTCATATCACACGCTAGCAAGGTCATGCTCAAGATCCTACAAGCTAGGCTTCAACAGTACGCCGGAAGATGAGCCCCTCAGGTCGGAAGGTGTCCAATATGCTACTGAGGAAGAGCAGAGGGCAAGTACAAGTAACCCCAGAAAGAGTGAAGCGGCTGGGCCAAAGGCGAAAATCTTGTGGGTGATTCCCATCCTTCTTTATGGAGGCAGGACTAAGTTCAAAAAACTTCTTCCTGTTTCCTTTGGTGGGAGTCACCCTGGCTCAGTTCGGTGCTCCGACAGCAGTACACTACGTAATAACTATACTTGGCAGTAATGCAGTTAAGAAGAAGAGTTAAATATAAACAAGTATAACCTGAACAACAGTAATAAGCTCTATGAGAAACTTTCTGTCTCTCTCCTTGTTACCACAAACGGGGCAATCAGAAATCACTGAAAGGTACTTTGTATGACGACCTGGGAGGACCAAGATGTCCTCCAAGCCTCAGACGAGAAGGACCCTTCTCGGGTAAGTACCAATGGTCGTTCTCTCCTGAGGCAGAGGCCATCTTGTGGGTACTCCCAGAGCAGTAACTAATTTATGGGTGGGAGGTCGTCATCTGTTGATAGAACAGACTGCAAAACGCGACGACCAAATCCCGCATCAGCCGAATCGTACACATTAATTTTGTAATGTCTGATAAAGGTGGATAGAGATGACCATGTGGCCACCTTGCATATCTCTTCCACTGAAGCCCTATTATGGAATGCAGCGTTAGTAGCTGCGCTGCGTAGAGAATGCGCTGTTATACCCTCCGGCACTTTAAGGTTGAGGCTCCGATAGGCCTCGGCAATGCAGGTTCTAAGAGTGGGACCTATGGCAGATGTGAACATCTTTCTTCCAATGCGTGGTGGGGAGATGTTCACGAATAGGGCCTCTGTCATTTGGATTGGTGCTGTCCTCAGAATGTAGCATTTAAGCGCTCTTCTGACGTCTAAGGCATGCCAGGGTTTTTCCTTTGGATGTTTAGGGCCTGGAACGAAGGAAGGTAAACAGATATCCTGCGAGCTGTGAAATCTGGTATATACTTTAGGTTGGAAGGAGGGATCCGTGTGCAAAACTACTTTGTCCTTGTGAAAAACATGCAAATCCTTCCTAATGGATAATGCTCCTAATTCGGAAATCCTTCTGGCTGAGGTGATAGCCACCATTTCATAGAGATCGTTGCGATAGGTTCGAAAGGGTGCTTGGTTAATGCCGAAAGGACGGTGTTAAGCTTCCACGTGGGGAATCTGTGCGCTTGTGGTGGATCCCGAAGAGTCGCACCTCTAAGAAAACGGCGGACATGAGGATGTTGGGAAACAGGTAAACCGCCATATTTTGGTAAAACTGTAGCTAGTGCTGCGGTCTGTCTTCGTAGCGTTGCGGCTTTTAGCCCTGAGGATCGACCATCTTGAAGGAAGTCCAGAATAGACTTGATTTTGGGGTGTATTAACTTTTTGGGAGGATTAACTTTTTTCCTTTTTGCCCAGCGTACGAACGCCTTCCACGTAATGTTGTAAATACGGGAAGTGGACTGTTTCCTTGAGTCCATAATCGTGTTGACTACAGAAGAGCTGTAGCCTAGTTTTCGGAGTTTTTCCCGCTCAACCGCCATGCGGTCAAGCGATACCAGACCGGATTGGGATGAAATATTGGCCCTTGAATCAGCATGTCTTTGGTTACTGGAAGAGGTAGAGGAGGCAACACTGCTAGTTCTTGTAGAGAAGTGAACCGTGGTCGTCGTGGCCAATAAGGTGCTATCAGGATTATCTCGGCTTGAAGAAGACGTATTCTCCGAAGTAGGCGAGGAAGCACTGGCAAGGGAGGAAATGCGTAAAGTAGATCCGCTGGCCATGGTGACAGTAGAGCATCGGTGGCTTCCGCTGATGGATGAAAAAACCTGGTGTAGAATCTGTCCAATTGGTGGTTCATTGGGGACGCAAACAGATCTACCTTGGGGATCCCTAATTGGTCTACAATCAGGGTAAACAGATTCCGGTTCAATGCCCATTCATTCTCCTGGATTGTTTGTCTGCGCAACCAATTCGCTTGTGTATTGATCACGCCCTTGATGTGCTGTGCATGAATTGACAATAACGAGT